TTCATCTATTTTACTGAGTTTCTGATAAACCTTAGATAGTAATTTGGGAGGGTTAAGATTAAGGAATTCTAATACACTTGTTGACATTTCAATCCTAGTGTTATTAAGGTTAAATTTATTTTTGGTTATAGATTTAATTTGTTGATATTCTAAAAATTTATTCTTATCAATCCCATATTGTGTAATTAATCTGTTAAATGGGATGTAGTCCACTTCTTCATATATATGTTCCAAATATTCAATTCCTTTACACCTCCAACCTGGGAAGTTTATCATCTTATTCTGTTGTAGGATGTCAGGGTTGTTCCAGATGGGTGTACGTTTACATGGGATTAGTGAAGACTCTGTCATTTTAAGAAACTCCCACCAAGCTGTCAGAGAGGAGCTGATATTGATGCTTTTAAAGCATTCCTGTCGTTTTATGTTTGAGCTAATGAATGGAAGGTCTGAGATCATTATATTATTGCAAATTGTCTGTTCTACGTCTAGCCAGGGTTCATCAAGGGGTGTGTGTTTTATCCATTTTGAGATGTATTCTAGCCTGTTGGCTAGAAAATAATAATAAAAGTTGGGTAATTCTAGTCCTCCTTTATCTTTGGATTTCTGTAGTGTTTTTAATCTAATACGAGGGCGTTTATCTTTCCACAGAAATTTAGAAATAGAGGAGTCCAGGGATCTAAACCAGTCAGATGATGGTTTATTTGGGATCATTGAGAATAAATAATTTATTCTAGGCAAAACCATCATTTTTATTGATGCGATCCTTCCCATGAGAGATATGGGTAAAGATTTCCATCTAGCCAGATCATCCTCAATTTTCTTTAAAAGTGGGGTGTGGTTTAGTTTTGTTAAATCTGCTAATTTAGGCGAAACTTTGATACCCAAATATGTAATATTCCCCGATTGCAGTTGTGTAGTAAGTGAATTGTTGAAAGAGCAATTAATTGGTAGAACTGTGGATTTTAGCCAGTTTATAGAGTAATCTGAAACTTTTGAGAAGGAGTTTATCAGTCCAATAACCTGAGAGATGGAGGTTTGTGAATGCCGGAGGAAGAGCAGCACATCATCAGCATATAGACTGATTTTGTGCTCTCTGTTCTTGCATTTTATGCCTTTAATATCTGTAGTTTGCCTGATTGCTGCGGCTAGCGGTTCGATGAAAATAGCGAACAGTGAGGGGGAGAGTGGACATCCCTGCCTGGTTCCCCTTTGCAGAGCAAAACTAGCAGATATTTGATTGTTTGTCCTAATGCATGCTGAAGGAGAACTGTATAATATTTGTAACCAATTTATGAAATAATTTCCAAAACCAAATTTATGTAAGGCTGCAAATAAAAATTTCCAGTTAACTCTATCGAAGGCTTTTTCTGCATGTAGAGAGAATATTGCAGTTTCAATATTTTTACTGTAAGAATAATCTATTAAATTAAATAATCTGCGTGAATTTGTGGATGAATGTCTCCCTTTTATAAAACCAGTTTGGTCTGGATGTATTATTAGAGGAGTTACCTTTTCTAATCTTTTTGAGAGGGCTTTACAAATTATTTTAAGATCAACGTTGATAAGAGATATTGGACGATAACTGGTAGGTAATACAGGATCTTTGCCTGGTTTTAACAGGAGACTAATGTTGGCAGAATTTATATTTTTTGGAAGACTGTTACTTTTCTCAGTTTCTTGTAGCATTTTGTGAAATAGTGGTGCCAGGATATTCCAGAATTCTTTATAGAACTCTGCTGGGAATCCATCTGGACCTGGAGCCTTTTTATTGGACATGCTTTTGAGGGCTTCCTGGAGTTCCACTGGTGTCAGTGGTGAATCCAGCTCCATTGTTTGACTATCTGATAGTTTAGGAAGTGTTATTTTATCCAGGAATTCATTAATTTCATTATCTGATGGGTTTATCTGGGGCGAATACAATTCTTTATAAAAATCTCTGAAAATGCTGTAATAATTAGCTGCTGAAACCCCAATACAGTACACAAAACGATAAAGCTACATTTCAAGATTATATAGTGTAAGAGTGTTAAACTGTTACATATAAATCTAAAACAGTTAAGTCTGGTCCTCTGGGCATTAAAAAAAATAAAAAAATAAAAAACCCAAAGCAAAACAAAAAAACAAAAAAAAAGTAGAAACGTTTCGTCTTTCATCCGAAAGACTTCTTCAGTCTGAGGTGCTGTATTCAAAGCTCAGTCTTATAAATATCACCTTCTCATAGTGGATCAACCAGTTTGCTGCTGACATCCAAAACCAGCTGCTCACGTGATCAAGGAGGACCAGCAGCCTAACAATGGATCGTTAGCACCCTTATGGCTGTTTACTATTCACAGGGGGCTGTGTGATACTAGTAATAACAGCATTGTCCCTCTCTTACAATGCTGTTATTGCTAGTATTACTCAGCCCCCTGTGAATAGTAAACAGCCACCAGGGTGTTAACGATCCATTGTTATGCTGATGGTCCTCCTTGATCACGTCAGCAGCTGGTTTTGGATGTCATCAGCAAACTGGTTGATCCACTATGAGAAGGTGCTATTTATAAGACTCAGCTGAACACAGCACCTCAGACATAAGTCTGTCGGATGAAAGATGAAACGTTTCTACATTTTCTTTTGTTGTTTTGCATTTTTTTTTTTTTTTTTTTTTTTTGAATGTCCAGAGGACCAGGTTTAGCTTTTTAGATTTTTCTACCTGGGTTATTGAACATGCATCAGGATGTTACATATAAACAAATTCCAAAAGTAAGACTTTTTGCATGCACTAAAGTTCCTATAAATAACTTGATCAACTTAACTTACAAACATTTACAGCAATAGTCATCAAGTAACAATAATAAAACACGTTTATTGTTGCATTACGTATCCTTTAATTTACTTAGATTAACGTTACGTAATGACGTCACTATTCAGCTTCGGTAATTGGCTTTACCAGACCACGTGACCCAACGCCGGGGAGGAAGTGTTGATTTTGATCGAGTGCGTTTGTTTACAACCTCGAGCGCTTTGGCTGAGCCTCCCATGGATTAGTTTTGAAGTTATTTGCACATATTTTGGCTAAACAGTTACTTTTTAGTTTGCGACCACTTTCTCTAAAATATATACGGCCATGCGTGTGCCACATTTTACTACGTAATGGCATTTGCTAACATGACATACTGCTAAAGTTTAGCATGATTAGCTAGCAAAATAAAAATACCCTTGACCTCAGACCGTCAAGAATCAACGGAAGCGTGATCATCCTCCATCTGCAATTGGGATATTTCGCGTTCGTGTGCAGCTACAGGGGGATCTAAAATAATAATTGGGGACATTAGTGAGACACGTTAACTTACAGGAAGCATAGCTAACATGAGGCTTACAAAATCAACGTCACGTGAATGTATCTGAAAAGATGTAGCTAAGTGATCTGTTCAAAGAGTGACATTTATTTATGAGTAACTTAGCTTGTACAACGCCTGATGTTGGATGCGTTTCCAGCAGGTGACGCGGTATGACTCTGCCTGTAATCATCCTCGTCCTCTCAGGGAGATAATAGTAGGATGATCAAGGCTCTCGTGAATTATGTCAGTCACTCAAGTTTACTGGGATCACCATATACCCTTGCCAAAGCTTGCTCCAGTCCAGGCCAAGGTGGCCGTGGCTCTGGTGGCGCTCCTGTGCTTCATGAACAGCTACGATGGAGAGTTTGTGTTTGACGATTCTGAAGCAATTGTCAACAACAAGGTCAGTATTCATTATCTGAAAAGCTCTGACGCTTTGCTAATAAACAATATTATAGATCATGTAATTTTCTCACCAGGTTTTTTCTGTAGAATTTTTTTTGTTATGTGTTTGTATGTGTTACAGGACCTGAAACCAACAACCCCCCTGAGCAACATCTGGAGCAATGACTTTTGGGGAAGCAATCTGAGTAGCAACTCTAGTCACAAATCTTATCGACCGCTCACTGTTCTGACATTTAGGTAAAAAAAAAAAACTCTTTTCTGTCTGAACTCATCATCTGGTCTTACACTTTACCTACTTAAAATAGTTCTTGGTTTTCCAATAGAAATAGTGTCACTATTTTTTTCTATTTTGCGGCAATGAGAAAAACTTGAGTTTATATAAATACTTTCCAGTGTGGTTCACTTACTTCTGAGAAAAGCACTTGAATAATAAAAAAGACATAAGTAGCAAATTTCAAAACAATTATGCAACTTGTGTGTAATTATGGCTAAATCGTTGTGTGAAGCAAAAGATAATTATTGTTTATATCCAATCAAATTTAAGTTGTATTATCAAACTTCTCTTTAAACCCAGGTGTGACTGTGACTCTTGTTCTGAACAAACTGTGCCAGTTGATTGGTACTGAGTAGTAAAATGGAACAGGTTTTTATTAGTTGGTAATAAATTAGAAAAATAACCTTGCAGCCAAAAGCAGTATTGGTGCCAATGCTAAGGCAAGAGGTAAATTGTGCCAATTATTTTTTTCTGATTGAATATTTTGTTATGTAATTAAAAAAACATAGATGATCAAAGTGACAAAAGAAAAAACATCAAATTTAAAAACTAAGTATAAAAACAATAATATCAAAGAAAATATCACGTCTGGTAAAAAACAAAATAGAATCAGATAATTTCAAAGCACTTAAGATCAACAGACACCAAAACAAACAACAAAGTAAAAAGGTGGGTTTTAAGAGATTTAACAACAGTTCAAAGGCCTGTCAAATGTGACGTGGCAGCTTATTCTACATTTTCAAATCTTCTACGACAAGAACTTGAGCCCTCTGAATCTTCATTTTGTTTAGGGAACCCAGAGCAGCTGGTCAGCTGTTCTGAGAGAGTGAATGGGTGTGAAAGGGTGTAGAACAGGGGCGCCCACACTTTTTCAGCATGCACGCTAAAATGACCAAGTCCAAGTGATGTACCTACTATAAAAATACAGAACATATACTTATTTATAAACTTATTAAGTATGCTTTTTATGTTGTATATTCTTGTTTTTAGTATTTTACCATGTTTTATATGGCACCTTGATTTATTGTTTTATGACACTACTTTTATTTTAATAGCATTTTACTGTAGTTTATTGCTGTCTGTACTTTATATGTTTCTGTCTAAAACTACTCTCTCTTGTAAATGAGTCCTCGTGACTCAATGAGACTAACCTGGATAAGTTCCAGCTCACGGTGGACGCAACATAAATGGAAAAAAAACAAAAGTTTGTTTAAAAAAAAGTGACAGTTTATTTTTACTGTACAAAATAATAACAATGTTGTAGTATATATGAATATAGTCCGAAAATGCAGCTTGGGTGAAATGCACTTCGAATATGACAATGTGGAGGAAAAAAAGTCCTCCCCCCACTCTGTATGAAAATGGTAGGTTTTTTACTTCTTACTTGGTCCAGCTCCCCAACTCATTTTACACACTTTTTTGAGTTTAGATTAGAAGAAATAAACTGCAGGCTAATACGAGTCAACTTGTTTGATTTAGCGTGGTTGAATGTGCATGCGTGGTGACCTATGTGTCAGAAAAAGTTGGTCTCAGATTGGCTAACCTGTATGTCAATCAAGTGATGAATTGCATAGTGAAAAGGGATCGATTGGCTGACGTCTATTTATTTTATTTTTTTTTAAGAAATAAAAAAAAGGTCTGACATCTATTTCGTTGTGTGATCTACTGAAAATGTCTTTGTGATTGAGGTACATCACGATCGACTTATTGGGCACCCCTGGTGTAGAAGCTTTGAAAGGTAGGGTAGAGCAAGGCCATTCAATGATTTAAAAACAAATGAAATCATTTTGAAATGTAGCCTAAAATTTACGGACAATTACTAAATTTACAGACTATATAAAATGTTTCATCACAAATTTATGCATAGAGATTGTTTTGACAATATTTTATGCAGTTTATGCTTTTAAAACTTTTTTTATTTGATTACAAGCATAATCTAGTCGCTGAGTGCATTTCCTCAACTGAAACTCTTAATAGATAAGAGAAATGAAAAATAATTTGTGAAAAGAGTCAAAGTTTTTACAGACAGTTTTTATCTAACTCTTGAAAACCTTCTCTGGAGATGGTTAGGTGTAGGCTATCGAAGTAATCAAGGCTTGTGAATTTGAGCTATCATCATACTACTTGAGGACTGAATTTAGTCTCTCTATCACTGTAAATGTTTTGGAGAAAAGCAGTATGACAAAAGGTGCAAAGTAGACACTTTATTACTTCATGATGAAAACAGGGATATGTTCTCACTGTGGTCGTTACATTGCTAATGCATACCAGACCAGGAGTTTTCTGCCTGTTAAAACTTGTGTAAAATGCTAATCAGTTGGCTTCGACACATAACAGACCTTAAAACCACCTGCCTATTACTAAAGCCATGTAATGACTGAATAAGTTTGTTGGGGAAAACAACATTTTTTTTTTCCTTTCTGGGTAACGGGGCAGCTGGTACCCGTCTCGAGGAATCACCGTGCTAGAGACAGGGTGCAACAAGGATAGGTTGCAAGTCTAACAAGATAAAACGCCTGATAAATTGTAAAAAAAAAAAAAAAAA